TTTCTCTCTCATTTTTGTTCTATTATTTTCTTTCCTTTTCTTTTTTTCTTTCTTTCTTTCTTTCTTTCTTTTTTTTTTTTCTCTTTTTATTTTTCTATTTTTTCTTTCTTTTCTCTCTTCTCCGTTCATTATTTGTCTTTTTCTTTCTTTTTTCTTTTCTTTCTTTCTTTTCTTTATTTCTTTCTTTCTTTTCTTTTTTTTTATTTATTTTCACCTTTCTTTCTCTCTCTCATTTCCGTCAATTATTTGTCCTTTTCTTTCTTTTCTTTCTTTCTTTCTTTCTTTCTTTCTTTCTTTTTTCTTTCTTTCTTTTTTTTTTTTTCACCTTCATTTTTCTTTCTTTCTCTCATTCCGTTCAATTATTTGTCCTTTCTTTTCTTTCTTTCTTTCTTTCCTTTCTTTATCTTTTTCTTTTTTTTTTCTTTTTTTTTATTATTTTCCTTTCTTTCTCTCTTTCTTTCATTTCTTTCAATTTTTCCTTTTCTTTCTTCTTTTTTTTCTTTTCTTTCTTTCTTTCTTTCTTTTTTTCTTTTTTTATTTTCTTTCTTTCTCTCTCTCATTTAATTATTTTATTTCTCCTTTTCTTTTTCTTTCTTTCTTATTTTTCTTTTTTCTTTCTTTCTTTCTTTTCTTTTTTTTCTTTTCTTTTTTTTAATTATTTTCACCTTTCTTTTCTCTCTCATTTCCGTGCAATTATTTGTCCTTTTCTTTCTTTCTTTCTTTCTTTCTTTCTTTCTTTTTTTTGATTTTTTTTATTTTTTTCATTTTCTTTTTTTTTTTTCTCTCTTTTCCGTGCAATTATTTTTCTTTTTTTTTTTCTTTCTTTCTTTTCTATTTCTTTTTCTTTCTTTCTTTTTTTCTTTTTAATTATTTTCAATTTTCTTTCTCTCTCTCATTTATTCAATTATTTGTTTTTTCTTTTTTTTTTCTTTCTTTTTCTTTCTTTCTTTTCTTTCTTTTTTCTTTCTTTCTTTCCTTTTTCTTTCTTTCTTTTTTTTTTTTAATTATTTTCACCTTTCTTTTCTCTCTCATTTTCCGTTCAATTATTTGTCCTTTTCTTTTTTCTTTCTTTTTTTTTTTCTTTCTTTCTTTCTTTTTTTTTTCTTTTTCTTTTTTTCACCTTTCTTTCTCTCTCTCATTTCCGTGCAATTATTTGTCCTTTTCTTTCTTTTTTCTTTCTTTCTTTTCTTTCTTTTTTTTTTTTTTTAATTATTTTCACCTTTCTTTCTCTCTCTCATTTCCGTTCAATTTTTGTCCTTTTCTTTTTCTTTCTTTCTTTCTTTCTTTCTTTCTTTCTTTTTTCTTTCTTTCTTTCTTTTTCTTTCATATTTTTCTTTTTTTAATTATTTTCTTTCTTTCTCTCTCATTATTTGCAATTTCTTTTTTCTTTTCTTTTTTCTTTTCTTTCTTTTTTCTTTCTTTCTTTCTTTTTTTTTTTTTTTTTAATTTTTTTCACCTTTCTTTCTCTCTCTCATTCCGTTCTTTTATTTGTCTTTTTCTTTCTTTTCTTTCTTTCTTTTTTTTTTTTTCTTTTTTTTTTTCTTTTAATTTTTTCACCTTTCTTTTTCTCTCTCTCATTCCGTTCAATTATTTGTCCTTTTCTTTCTTTTTCTTTTCTTTTCTTTCTTTTTTTTTCTTTCTTTTTTTTCTTTTTAATTATTTTTCACCTTTCTTTTTCTCTCTTTTTTCCGTTCAATTATTTGTCCTTTTCTTTCTTTCTTTTCTTTCTTTCTTTTCTTTCTCTATTTTTTTTTTCTTTTCTTTCTTTCTTTCTTTCTCTCTCTCATTTTTTAATTATTTTTTTTCCTTTCTTTATTTCTTATTTTCTTTCTTTCTTTCTTTCTTTCTTTCTTTTTTTTTTTTTTTCTTTTTCTTTTTCTTTTCCTTTTTCATTTTCTTCTCTTATTTTCAATTTTTTTCTTTTTTTCTTTTCTTTCTTTTTCTTTCTTTCTTTTTTTTTCTTTTTAATTATTTTCACCTTTCTTTCTCTCTTTCATTCCGTTCAATTATTATTCCTTTTCTTTCTTTTTTCTCTTCTTTCTTTTCTTTCTTTTTTCTTTCTTTTTCTTTTTTTCTTTTAATTATTTTCTTTCTTTTCTTTCTTTCTTCATTATTTTATTTCTTTCTTTCTTTCTTTCTTTTTTTCTTTCTTTTTCTTTTCCTTTTTCTTTCTTTCTTTTCTTTCTTTTTTTAATTATTTTCCTTTCTTTTTTTTTTTTCTTTTCAATTTTTTCCTTTTTCTTTCTTTCTTTCTTTTTTTCTTTCTTTCTTTCTTTCTTTTTTCTCTTTCTAATATTTTATCTATTTTTCTTTCTTTTTTTTTCTTTCAATTTTTCTCCTTTTCTTTCTTTCTTTTCTTTTTTTTTTTTCTTTCTTTTTTTTTTTCTCATTTTTTCTCTTTCTTTTCTTTTTGTCCTTTTCTTTCTTTTTTCTTTCTTTCTTTTCTTTTCTTTCTTTCTTTTTTTTTTTATTTTCACCTTTCTTTTCTCTCTCATTTTGAATGCAATTATTTGTCCTTTTCTTTCTTTCTTTCTTTCTTTCTTTCTTTCCTTTCTTTTCTTTCTTTTCTTTTTTTCACCTTTCTTTTTCTCTTTCTTTCCTTTCAATTATTTGTCTCTTTTCTTTTTCTTTCTTTCTTTCTTTTCTTTTTTCTTTCTTTTTTTTTAATTATTTTCACCTTTCTTTTTCTCTCTCATTCCGTTCAATTATTTGTCCTTTTCTTTCTTTTCTTTCTTTTTTCTTTCTTTCTTTTTTAATTATTTTCTTTTTTCTTTCTCTCTCTCATTCCGTTCAATTATTTGTCCTTTTCTTTCTTTTCTTTCTTTCTTTCTCATATTTTTCTTTTTTAATTTTTTTCCTTTCTTTTTTCTCTCTCATTATTTTCAATTTTTTGTCCTTTTCTTTCTTTCTTTTTTTTTTCTTTTTTTTTTTTAATTATTTTCTTTTTTTTTCTTTCCTCTCATTCCGTTCAATTATTTTCTTTTCTTTTCTTTTTTCTTTCTCATTTTTTTTATTTCTTTCTTTCTTTTTTTTTTCTTTTTTAATTATTTTCACCTTTCTTTTCTCTATCATTCCTTTCAATTATTTGTCCTTTTCTTTTCTTTCTTTTTCTCTTTCTTTCTTTCTTTTCTTTCTTTCTTTTCTTTATTTTCTTTCTTTTTTCTTTTTTTTTCATATATTTTTTCCTTTCTTTATCTCTCTCATTCCGTACAATTATTTGTCCTTTTCTTTTCTTTTTTTTTCTTTCATTTCTTTCTTTCTTTTTTCTTTCTTTCTTTTTTCTTTTAATTATTTTCACCTTTCTTTTTCTCTCTCTTTTCTTTTTCAATTATTTGTCCTTTTCTTTTCTTTCTTTCTTTTTTTTTCTTTCTTTTCTTTCTTCTTTTAATTCTTTTTTTCTTTTCTTTTCTCTCTCATTCCGTTCAATTATTTGTCCTTTTCTTTCTTTCTTTTCTTTTCTTTTTTTTTCTTTTCTTTTTTAATTATTTTCACCTTTTCTTTCTCTCTCTCATTCCGTTCAATTATTTGTCCTTTTCTTTCTTTTCTTTTTCTTTCTTTTCTTTTTTCTTTTTTTTAATTATTTTCTTTCTTTCTTCTCTCATTCCGTGCAATTGTTTGTCATTTTCTTTCTTTCTTTCTTTCTTTTCTTTTTTTTTTTCTTTTTAATTATTTTCACCTTTCTTTTCCCTCTCATTCCGTTCAATTATTTTGCTTTTTCTTTTCTTTCTTTTTTCTTTCTTTTCTTTTCTTTCTTTTTCTTTTTAATTATTTTCACCTTTCTTTCTTTCTCATTTCTTTTCTCTGCAATTATTTGTCCTTTTTCTTTCTTTCTTTCTTTCTTTCTTTTTTCTTTCTTTTCTTTCTTTCTTTTTCTTTTTAATTATTTTCACCTTTTCTTTTATCTCTCTCATTCCGTACAATTCTTTTGTCCTTTTCTTTATTTTTTTTCTTTCTTTCTTTCTTTCTTTTTTTTTTTTTTTTTTTTATTTTTTTTCTTTTCTTTCTCTCTCTCATTCCGTTCAATTATTTGTCCTTTTTTTCTTTCCTTCTTTCTTTCTTTCTTTCTTTTTTTCTTTTTAATTATTTTCACCTTTCTTTCTCTCTCTTATTCCGTTCAGTTATTTGTCCTTTTCTTTCATTCTTTCTTTCTTTCTTTCTTTCTTTCTTTCTTTCTTTCTTTCTTTCTTTCTTTCTTTCTTTCTTATTTATTTTGTTTTTCTTTTACATTCTTTATCTATTCCCTTCCAGATTTTATTCAATTTTTATTTTCCTTCCTTCTGAACGGTTTCATTCAAATCGCAAAATTTGCATTTGTTTCTTTTTCTTTCTATCATAAATTCACCTTCCATTTTGTATTCAATTTTTCTCATTCTCTATAATTCCCTTTCTTTTATTGTTTAACTTTTTATTCAGTTTCTCTTTAATAACTTTCTTCACGTTTTCTTTCAGCGATTATATTCTTTTTCTTTCTTTATTTCTTTCTTTCTTTTCCTAATATCTTAATTCCTTCGAATTTTTCCTCCCACTCTTAAATGCCCCCGTCTTTGTAAACGAATTTATCCGCCCAATCAATCGAATATTTATTATTCTCATCGTCCCTTTATTTCTTTTAAGGTCTCATAGAGTTCGTTCCATTCACATTGATCCTTACCACGTCGCGCCAAATAAATCTACCTCGTTCATAACCATTCCCTCAGTGCAGGACTGGGTCAGACATACAGCAGTGATTACTGTCAGGCCAATATCGGCCATATTATTGCATTAGATTCTGCTAAACTCTCCATTCAAGATATGGACGCCTTTGATAGGCTGAATGGAATAAGTAAATGATGCTAGGAAGAAAAAGCGAAACTCACTTTGAACATTGAAAATTGGATCATTGAGGAAATATGTAAGAATAAAAATGTAATTATGTATATAATAAAACTCCTCTTTCAACAGCGCGTCTTGAATTACAAAGCATTTCTAATAATGAATTCAATTTGCAAAGCATTTACATTATAAATATAATATCACTATTCTACCAGTAACACTTGCATTAATTTCTGACCATCGACAATTTTCTTGGGTTTCAGTTCATTCTTCTTGTACAATCATTACGAATGCATTTAGATTAGCCATACTTATAGTGGAGGAATTATCGATACTCGGGTCGGCTGTCTTGTCATTGATACCGGGTGTTAAGTCCAATTCGTAGAAACGTCGAGGCTGGTCAATATGAAGGAAATAAAAAATGTAGTAACTTTTATGGTACAGAGGTAGCAATTAAAACATTATAATATATATATATATATATATATATATATATATATATATATATATATATATATAAATAACCAGTATTCATGTCCGAATACAAAGTATCCATATTTTGTTGTCCTGATCACAGTTTTCGATCTCTCACTTGCCTTCTTAGCACTAAATCATTAAATGAAGCACTGGGATTTTTATATGTATTATTTAGACTAATATCTACATCTTTGCGTTCTGATCAGCATCTTTTAGCTGATGCAAGTGCGCGGGTGTGCATCGTGAAGTATGTCGTGGTTATTTGTCCTTTTTTGTTTTTTCACTTTGCACTCTCTCTCTCTCTCTCTCTCTCTATATATATATATATATATATATATAGAGAAGAGAGAGAGAAAGAGAGAAAGAGAGTATATAGATATTTATACATATATTTGGCTAGATTGATGTGAGTTTGTGATCTTAAGTTTCACTCTTTTGGGATCGTCAGACAAATTGATTTTTTTTAAATTTTGGATTTATATAGGTTGCGTATATTTGTGTTATTATGGAAGGGAGGAAATCGTTGTCGATGTAACTCATGCTAACGCAAAAAATACAAGCGTGACCGTACATCCATATATATATATATATATATATATATATATATATATATATATATATATATTTGATAGTTGTATATTTAGGCAGCAATCCTTCCTTTATGCATGTTTCATGAAAAACGACAGACAAGGTACTATGGTTAAGCTTTTTATTTAATTTTTCTTCGGTTCTAACAAGAGCAAGAAAAGGGTGTGTAAAAACTGTCCAAATGTTTTATATTTCCGAGTGCTTTCGGCTATACCTTTAGCCATTATCAAGGATGCTTAAGACCACATTTGAGAAAAACTCTGTCCTTAACTTTAACTATGAATTTAGCCAAAAAAAAAAAACAATTTCCATTCTTAGATGTCCTCGTTGAATACAGCAATAACACATTCATTACATCATTATACAAAAAAACTACCAGCAAAAGCTCGTGCCACCTTAACTTCAAAAGCGAATGTCCACTTAGGTACAAATTAGCAGTAATAAAAAAAACTTTCTAAATAGAGCACACCTGGATTCATCCTCTCGACTACTCTTCCTCAAAGAACTTAACGTTAAACAAACGCTAATCAACAACGGCTACCCTAACGACCTTATAAAACAACAAATTAGGCTATTTCTCCCCGAGGCAAGTAATAACGATAGTAAACACACAACCAAAAATCACATACACATTTATTACAAAAACCAAATGCATATTAATTACAAACAAGACGAATCTTCTCTAAGGCATATTATAAAGAAATATACTACTCCAATTGATCCGAATAAAAAAATCAAATTTATTATCTATTATAAAAAATTTAAGACAGCCAACCTTATCCTCAAAAATAACAACACACCAGCCAAGTCAAAATTACAAAGAACGAACATTATCTATTAAGAAATGCCCCTTAAGGAACTTTGTTCCTGATCAAACCGGACTCATTAATAATTACATCGGTTACACAACCACATGCTTATCCAGACGTCTTACGTTACACCTATCCGATCACAGCTCCATTAGAACCCATTTAAAGACACACACAAATTTACCAGACTCCATTAGAAACATACTAGTAGAAAACACAAATATATCATCCACCTGCAAAAAAAGACTAAAAATAATGGAAGCTTTAATAATAAAAAAGTAAAAGCCAACTCTTAACAATATTAACTACGAACAAAGCCACAATGTGCTAACCGTATTCGGAAATTAAAAACATCCCTACCACACACTAAGACACACACAGAACGCACACACTCAATTAAGCTGAAAAATCGAATCATCTTTCATAATGACTAAAGGTATAGCCGAAAGCGCTCGGAAATATAAAACATTTGGACAGTTCTTACACACCCTTTGTCCAGAAAAGAAAGCTCTTGTTAGAACACAAGAAAATTAAATAAAAAGCTTAACCGTAGTACCTTGTCTGTCGTTTTTAATGAAACATGCATATATATATATATATATATATATATATATATATATATATATATATATATATATTATCATCCACAGACAGACTGTTTCGCTGTATCACAGCTCATCAGTGTGGCTAGACATCCGGTTGCCTCTAGCTAGTATCGAAACCCGATTGAATTGGCGTCAGTCGGTGATTCTACCACTAAGTCGTTGGCGCACAGCAGGGATGAAGGTGAATTTTAAGTGTATTTATTTTGGATAAACACCCAGTGACTGAGAGAACTCAATTCGATTTACCGAAGAGTCTTGCATTATTAGCAGTAATAGTCACTGTTTACAAACTCACACTTCCTCCCCAGAGAGCTCAACCGAAATAAATTTTCAGGAGCATATATAGTATCATCCACAGACAGACTGTATATATATATATATATATATATATATATATATATATATATATATATATATATATATATATATATATATAATACCTAGCCATTTAAGCCAGCCAGACAAACCTAGCAAGGTTTCACCTAAGCGGATCGTCAGGGATTAAATCAAATTATGAATCCACCTCAGATATAGGTAAATAATAGGACATGTATATGAAAATTATTATTATCGCCAAAAAATATTCTTAATTCAGTATTAACTTGCGGAATAAATAAATAAATTATTCTTCAAATCCAAAAATATTGTTCGGCTTTAAATAAAAGCCAAAATGTTGGGCGGTCGTAAAAAAGAAATCCAATCTATCTTGCATGGTGTCCACATATTAGTCTTTTTGTCATTCGTCCATTGTTAGAACATCGCTGCTACATATGGTCTGATGTTCCTGTTATTTATTTGTAATTCTTGATAAAAGCCAAAAAAGAATCAGCAATATTATTGCTCCTGATCTGGCTTCCCGCTTCAGTAACTTTCACACCGTCGTAAAGATGCCCTCCTCTGTCTGTTCTATGAATACTTATATGACAATTATTCGGATGAGCTCTTCGTTAGAGTCCCCAGACTCTTCGAATTTAAGCGCAGTACTAAACCGGCGTCGAATTCTCACAAATTTACAGTTAAGTTGGTAAGATGTAATCGCAAGATCTATGCTAACAGTTTCTTTTCTTGGAATTCTCGCTTGTGGAATTATTCCAGCT